TATTATTAAATAAAAAGCAACCCCTGTATGCTTGCTAGCCAGCCACGCCAGGCCTCTAGCACTGTTCCTGCCCAACTGTTAAAATTCAAACCAGGGGGAGGCGTGGATTGTCGTAAAAGAAATGGGTTCGTAGCACCCCAGGAAACAAACAAATCAAGGAGAAAACAAGGTAAATGCTCAACTATGAGATAGAGGCTACCAGGGATATAGAGAGTGAGCCGACCCCTCAAACGTCTCAAGCAGAGCAAGCAAAAGGGAAAGAAATAATGAAAGAACAAGCAAGGGATGAAGTTGAATACTTTATTGTTTTATTGCCACTGTTTCTATTTAAGTTAGCATGAAGATGAGGCTCCAGTACTTTGGCCATCTCATGAGAAAAGAAGACTCCCTGGAAAAGACCCTGATGTTGGGAAAATGTGAAGGCAAGAGGAGAAGGGGACAACAGAGGATGAGATGGTTGGACAGTGTCACTGAAGCTACCAACATGAATTTGACCCAACTCTGAGAGGCAGTGGAAGACAGGAGGGGCTGGCGTGCTCTGGTCCATGGGGTCACAAAGAGTCGGACATGAGTTAACAACTAAGCAGCAAAAGGAACAAAATATGGGCACACAGGCATGTTGCATGCCTATTCCTAAGCTACACCCAAATTTGTGTGTGTCTCTGTCTATATGGCAATACACACTTTTACAACCCCCTGCAGAAAAAGAGACCTCCAAGCAGGCAAATGAAAATCTGTTCATTACCATATCCACACATCCATGTCCAACTTTGCATTTGACTTTTCTTTCCTACATCATCCCCTTCTGCATACATCCCACCACGCACAGAATATGCAAACCAATCTTGCACAGACTGATCAACTCTCCAAAAGAGCTAGTACTGACAAAAATGTATTGAATGGAGAACTGGGTCTCCTACTCCCCATCAATTTTCCATAGATCAAATCAGCCATCAGAAGGGTAATGAGAAGCTTTTCAGTCTCACGCTGGAGAAAAGAGCTTGTGCCTTGTCTATTAGCCCCAGTTGCTGCATAGCTTTTATACCCACAGGTTCTCTGAAATGAGCATAAAAGTCTTGCCTGTTAAGGACAAAGAGGAAGGGGGAGGAAGAGGAGCTGAAAGAAGAGTAAGTTACAAACCTACGCACCCCTTTGTTCCTTGTCTGCTTTTAGTCAAGAGGCCAACTTAATCTGTGCTTGTGGAGGATCCAGTGTGCTTGGACTGAAAACTTTACAATGGGAGTGTTGGTTGTCAGGAAGACACAACCCTGCAGAAGTGATGAATGGGCAGGAGTAAAGGAGAAAGGCGAGCCAATCAGGAGGGATGGTAATTCCATCTGCCACCAAGCTACTCCTCCCTTTCTAACCCCCATGGTGTCCTTTCACAAAATCTACTAGCAGGAAACAAGCTCTGTTAACCCCCTTTCTCCCTTCTTGTTAGAATGGGAAAGCAAAGGCCCTTAAAGCAGACTTTGCAGTCATTATGTTCAAATTTGGGAAGAAGGTGAGTCAGCTCTCTCTCTCTCTCTCTCTCTCTCTCTCTCTCTCTCTCTCTCTGTGTGTGTGTGTGTGTGTGTGTGTGTGTGTGTGTGTGTTATTCCAATTCAGTTCATACTGGACCACCTGCTTCTTTTTAATCATTTCAAATGGGACCAGTACCTAGCTAGAGTTAAAATATGTATAGACTGCCATCTCTCTTTTTTTAAATTATTCATAGTTCTGTGCTTTTAACAGCAGTCTGTCATGCAGAATCAAATCAGGTGGAGAATTTTCCAACAGTATATCCCAGTTGGTGGGTGGGAACCTTGCTTATTTTACTTTCACACCTGTTCAAACAGGATTAGAAAAACTGGCCCTCCAGATATTGACTTCATTTCCCATGTGGTCCAGCCAGCCTGATCAGTGGAGGGCAAAGATGGTAGATTATCAACATCCTGATTCATAGATTAGGCATCCTTCAGTCTCGAGAGACTATGGTAACATGCTCTGAATGGAGGACTTGGAACAGTGTCTAGTGTGGCTGAGAAGGCCAATTTGAGAGTGACAATAGCTTTCATACTGAAGACAAAAACAATCTGTCCCTTGTCCAGCTCCCTAATTTTGCTGGTTTCAGGACTGCCTCTTTGCCTTGGCCTGCTGGACAAGTGTCTCTTCAAAATGTGAGAGGCCATGATGCACCGCCTGCCTCCAGGCTGAATGCTCAGATGCCAAAGTTTCCCATCTGTTGAGGTCCGTTCCTAAGGCCTTCAGATCCCACTTGCAGATATCCTTGTATCACAGCTATGGTCTCCCTCTGGGACAATTTCCCTGCACTAATTCTCCATACAGGAGATCTTTTGGAATCTGACCATCAGCCATTCTCACGACATGCCTGAGCCAACATAGATGTCACTGTTTCAGTAATGTATATGTGCTAAAAATTCCAGCTTGTTCTAGGATTACTCTATTTGGAACTTTGTCCTGCAAGGTGATACCAAAAATGCATTGGAGACAACACATATGGAACATGTTGAGCTTCCTCTCCTGCCGTGCACATAGGGTCCAGGACTCACTGAAGTACAGGAGTGTACTCAGGACACAGGCTCTATAGACCTGGATCTTAGTATATGCCGTCAGCTTCTTATTAAGCCATACTCTCTTTGTGATTTAAGTTAACGGTTTAAGAGCAGGGCCAGTAAAAATGCAAGTCTTTAAAAAACACTTGTTTATGACTGTGGGATATTATACTTCTGTATCCATGATTCAAAATGCAAGGAAATGGCCTGATATTGCTGCATAATATAGTGCCTGTGTTGCCAGCAAGAAAAAAGGCTGTCAAGTTTTCCATAACAAAGGGCAGCCTGAATGTCGACAACACCAATGGCAGCAGTCAAGATGGTGTATAGGTTACCCTCTTGTGCTTACTGCCATTCACAAAGAAATACTAAGCCAGGGAAAAATCCCAGAAACTGATTCATTTTTATCAACTTCTCACCCAAACACAAAACAATTGTAATGGCTGGGTTTGGGGTCTTCTGAAGAATTGAATTTATTGGCTTTTTAAATCAGAAGTTTAAGTGTGCATACACTCCAAATTCCAACAGAAACTTCCCTTATGTGAAGTTACTCAGTTTTAGATGAACACATAATTTGTATTGTAATTCCTGGCAGAGGACAGAAGCCAGAACAGTTGGGATGCAGCTGTAGTTACCCTATGCCAAAATATTTTGAAGCACTGTTTTGGACTTAATGGAATAGTGAAGCAAAAGTGTTTTTGTTGCCTAATCATTTATAATATATATATATATATACTAAAGTAAAACACCCATTAAAAGAGTATCTAGAAGATTCCAAAAGATTTCATCTGTGATGAAGAGGATATCAGAATCAGCAATAGACCCATTTCCCTGAAGAGGCCACTGAGAAATACAAGCTAACAAGGTGTGGGTTGGGTAGAACAACAGTCAGGTGGATACATAGTTGGCCACAGTGATGTTCATGTGTGGACACTGGAAAAAAGAACCACCCAACCTGACCCATCAGCAGACCAAACAGTGGATAAATGGTGATGAACTAGCAGATTTAAAAAAAAAATGTTGTTTGGACAGGAGAAACACTGCAATGGCACATTGTTCCTCCCTTGACCTCAACTGACCCTTTGTAGATCAATCCAACCTGCAGCAAAATGGCTAGTGTGCACAGGCCCTAAATGTTACTTACAAGGAGGATACAGTCCCTTTTTGCTGTCCTATGAAGCCATGGCAGAAAGGTTGCACTCTGTGCTTGTTCCAGAACTAAGCTACCTCTCCACTCAGGCGTGATTATCAGGTAGATAAGTTCAACCTTTATTATTTTCTGGTGTGTTTCTCTTGAATAGCTTTATGACTTTCTCTGCTTTGCTCCAGTATTTTGGAAAAACATTTTGTGACATTTGGGAACTTTCATCATTTACCCTTTCCCTTCTTCTGTGACAAGTATCTCATGCTCTGTTGTGTCTAAAATACTGGAAAATAGCGATAGCAGAGAATAGTGGTGATGTCATTCTTGTCTCTCCTCTTTTTTTTCTTATTTCTTTCCTTGGTTTTATCTATGAACAAAATAAGTGCTCATACCCATTAAAACACGTGTAAATTGATTTTAGAGTTTTAAAAACCAGGTACCAAATTTTGGCAGATGTAGCAGGCAAGCCAGAGCTTGAAAAAGTTACTTTGTTGGACTACAATTTCCAGAAACCCCCTTCTAGTGAGGCTAACGTGAGAGCTGTAATATGAAAAGACAACTTTTCTAAACTCTGATGTAAGTAGTATCTAATTATATTCCTTCTTCTATGTGACTATTATAGTTTTTTTTTTAAATCAAACTGTTAGCAGCTTTTCATATGGAATAAAGACCAGTTATGGGGGGAACTTTACTAGGTAAATATCTACAGGTACATATCAGCAGGCAAGCTGCTACATCTGCCAAAATTTGGTACCTGGTTGTTAAAACCCTAAAATCAAAGTACAGGAGGCAAAACTAGTACAAAGTTTGCAACTCCATCTGTTGTATATAGAAATGTCATGACAGAATCAGTTCCCTTACTTTTCCATTAGCTTCCCCTTTTCATCCACTCCAACATACACAGATATATTGATGGCAGTCTACAACATATGGAGACAGGACTGCCAGTTTATGAGGAAAGCTGGTCTGGGCAGCTTCTGTGACTTTCATAGAGTTTGATCTGCAGCAAAGCAGACCAAAGCTTTTCTCAGGAAGCTTCTTAGGCACAAAACAGTGTTATCTGATGCTAACAGATTTGAAAGAAAGCCTACATACCATGGAGCAAATGTTTAGGGATAATGGTACAGTGTGTATTGCATGTGTTAAGCAAATGAAGCTGAAACTTACATAACAGATTTAATAGGATATAAAAAGAAATCAGCAAACCATATTCCAAGTGTTACAAGTATAAATCCAGAGTAACTCAATGCATATCAGTGGGATTATGCCTGTTTACACTGGTGTAACAAAAGGCCAAGGGAGGCCTAATGGATTAAATTAAAAGCAAGTTTCATGCCTGCATTACTGTTAAAATACATGATCCTAAGCATGCCCAACCCCAACATGGGTACCAGTGGGATATGCTGAGTTTAATCAGGGAGTGTTGTCCAATGGACTGAGGTTGTTTGGTCATTAGGGACAAAATTCAGAGTCTTCTTTGGACTCACAGGGGCTAAAGAAGTTTAGATCAAAGCTGCACCCAAGCAGTGGTTTGGAAAGAGGCAACAAAATGGGATGGCTAGCTAGAAGGGTATATATTTTGTTGGCTGCAGAGCTCCACTCGCATTGAGGATGGTTAGCATCCATGCTGGTTGGGTGGAACCCAAAGCAAGAGACAGAAGGACAAGTAAGAGGGAAAAGTAACTCAGACATATTTGTGAAGCAGATACTTTGGAATTTTTCAAGTTGGAGGGATAAAGAAAGAGTAAATGCAATAAGAATAAAGAAAAGGGTGTTAATGGAGAGGAAAAGAGACAAAACAAGAGGTGTTTGTCACAAACTCGCATGCATTTATATACATTCACGTTTGCCTTTTCAATTGTAGCAGGATGGCTAAGAACCTAGTCAAAAAGATTCCAATGTTATAGCCACCTTTCACTTGGAAGAGAAAGCATATGGATGTGTGTTTGGCTACTGTAATTATTGTAAATGACCCAGTCCTGAATGGTTAGGGATCTGAACAAAATATCCATGTTAATCAGAGTGCTTCCTTCATCTCTCTAAGCATTGGGATTAAATATTTAATAGGGCTGGATACATTTGGGAAAGTGACCACATTGGATGTAAGGAAGATGGCAGCGAAAGAGCTTGAATACAGTTTTGCTCTCTGATCTGTGGGAGAGGACAAAGAAAACAGAGGAGCTTGGAGCTCTGAGATGGTTGAACAGAAACACTTCAAAGGACAGTGATGTTCTCTGAAAATCAAATGCATGGTTGAAGAATTTGCTGTTAGCTCTCTCTCTCTCTCTGTATGTGTGTGTGTTTTCTCTACTTGCATCCCCATTATCTGATTGTCTATTTGTAATTCAAATTCAAGATTCCTTAAGATTCTAACATCCCAATTCCTAGCTGAAAGAAATGGGAAAACAACTTCTTCAAATTAAAAATAAAACAACAAATGAACTGAATCAACTTTTCTGAGTCAGTGGAAATTCATTAAAGTTCTTTGAACCAAGGCTTAAAATGTGGAAATGAATGCAAGGATCTCAACTGGAAAGTCACATGCATGTCCAGAGCCTAGTTTTTCTGCTAGAAACCCCAGTGACCGTCATTTTATTCAGATAAGAAAAAAATAATAGAAAGAAAAAAAAACACAGAACTGAATTGGCTTTTGAGAAGGGGAAGGGTCTCTGACTTTGGGGACAGAATAAAGTTCCCAAAGGAGTTTAAATAATGATGCCTACATGTGAGTGGAAAGCTCTCCTCTTCTGACTCCTCCATCATTGCATGAAGAAAGCAAAAATACTCATCTCTAAGCTTGTTGAAGAAACCAGATTCAATAAGGCCTAAATAGGGCTATAGTGATCTATAAGCACTGGTAGATATGTGAAAGCTATTGCCCACACACCTCCTTATGGAAATATTACCTGGGAACAATAACATTTCATGAATGGATCTCTATATCCCAGGTTATTATTATTAACTGAAAAACAATAACAAGCTTTGTTCATATACAAAGTCCTGGACAAGTTGCATAGATGACTAATCATCATATAATGCAAAGGAAGTACTTGCAAAAACATTTAAGAAATCTGTCAATGAACACAGGAGTCTATTAAGTCAGAAGCTGTTCTGGACTGCAGCAGTATAAGGATGCTAGAATTTCACCTTCGGCTTAATGGTGGGGCCTGGTAACTAGAATTATGTAGCTGAGCAACTTAAGTTTAAAGCTTGCACAGTAGAACAGGAAGAATAATGTTGCGAAATGGGTGAGGATATCAGTTGCATCTTTACATTTAACATGTCCATTTTGAAAAAATGCAGGTGGAAGCCATTGGTGCCAATGGGAACTTTCCTCATAGGGCAAACGGCAAGCTTCAATTAATTAATCTTTGTCAGGATCCCAGCAAGAGAGGAAGGGTCATAGTCCCATTACTTGCCTGCTGTGATTCTTAGAATCATCAGCCCTTATATTCAGGAGCTATTACTTACATTTAAAAATGTGAATACTAAACACAAAGACACATTCAACACTGACATATAGCAGGATTAAAAAGAAATCCTCCTTAAATATTTTCAACCTTAACTCACATCCACCCCCTCCAGCATAGCTGATGGTAAGGGACTTCTAGAACTGTTGTTCACAACATCTGGAAGGACAAAAGTTCTCTGTCCTTCATATATAGTTTAGACTTGAATGAAAGATTTAAAGCCCTATATACTTTCAAAACAGCTCTTTGGCACATTCCTGTGCTGTCTCTGAGGAATATGTTGGCCTATTGTTCCTTTTTGTCTTTTTTTAATTTTGGAGGATGGACAGACTAAAGACAGCACATTCTAAGGACATGGGGAGGGGCATTTCCATTGTGATGTTTGGACAGTAACAACTGAGGCCACTGTATTAAAATTGAATAACAGAGACCTGGATCACCCCTAAGATCGCTGCTAAAATACTCATATATGTACAGATATAAAGATCCTTGCTGAGATAACTGACTGTGATGCAGACTGTGGCATACTATACAGAACAACAGTGCACCCTTGAAACCATTATGACAATATAGATAGGTGGCACCATGACCATCATGCTCTATCCAGTTATAGTAACCTTTGCTGTGTTAATTTTTTTTCTTCCTGATGTTGCATTTGAAGTAGAGTAACAAAATTAATATGGAGTTATATGGCTACAAATGAAACAGTTAATTATTCTTATTAAAGTCCTGTATCTCAGGTTCCGGTGGTCACATGGCTTTTAGTCATCAATACTTTCTCACAGTGGCTGGAATCATGTTGCTTAAGTGCCAAAAGTCATAACTAGAGTAGGCCCTGCATAGTCAATGAAGCAGAAGTAGATGTTCCTTTTTGTCTTTTTTTGGTGGAGGAGGTAACTTATCAAATCCCTACTCATTCAATGGGCCTACTGTACTAGCAACTTATTACAATAAGCAACAAGACTTCAGTCAGCGTTTTGCTGCATCACCTCCACCATCCCAAAGAGCACATATGAAAAAAATATGAGTTCTTGATCACTCTTCTTTGTACCTACAATGTACCTCACATGGTTCTATAGTATGCAATGTGCTTCTTGTAGCCATTAGTACTTGCTACAGGACAGACAGCATTTCCTATTGCCACCTATAAATGAACCTGAACGTTCTTGTCATACTAACTCAGCATTGTGATTAGACAACAAGTCTAAATGTCTTCTTAAATGTCATTGAGTATCCTCCTTTTTCCTGACAATTCTGACAATATCTAGTTTATTTTATAAGCTTGGTGTTCCTGTCTTGCCAATAATATGTTTGAAGCTTTAGGTAGCAATGCAGTATCACATATACTGCAGACTAAATGCCTCTACATTTGCTCCTTCCTCTGTTTTTGATACAACATAAAGAACAATGTAGAAGATACCCATATTGCTGATTCCCAGGTGCCACACACATCTAAGAAGAATCACTGCAACACATCCAGGGAAAAAGACCCTCCTTAAGATGCTGCATAAAAGAGGCAACAATAACTTCCTGCAGCTAAAGAAAGACAACGCAGAATGGAATAGCAAAGAGAAGGCACTTGGGGGAGGGAAAGTCGGGGGGGAGATGATAAGATATATTTCCCATGTCTAACATAGACTGGAATCAAGTCACTGCTCAAAGCCAAAGTCCCAAAGAGTGGCAATTGCTGCAAGGCTTAGAAGACAACAGACTGCAACAGTCGGAAACACATCATCAGGTCCAACGGGATTGGTGGCTTCAGGTGGTTGCCGTCAAGGCGCAGATAGCGAAGACGAGGCATACTGTCGAGATCTGAAGATGGTTCTTGGAAAGATATAAAAGAAGTAGGGCATATCTGGGTCCCGTTGATTTCTAAAGAGAGAGGGAGAGAGAAAAAAAGAATGGTGCCAGGTTAAGAGAATAAAAACACACTGCTTTCATTTAGTCATTTTTAATGTGTTGTTTTTCTGTCCAAGGACACCCAGAATGGCATACAACAGTAAAATATATGCTGGTGATTAATGAAACACAGTGGCTGTGATTTGTAAAGACTGATGCACATTATTATGAAGATGAATAAAACATTGGTTATGATTTATCAAAACTGATTTATATTTGACAGCAAAGCAATTTATTCTTTTTGATAGCTTTAAGACTCTCTGTCTTGGTTCTCCATTTCCATCTGCTTCTCAGTCAGTCTTGAATATCCTGCAAGTGTTCCAGAGAAATTTCTGATGCCTATCACAGCCAAATTATACATTACAGGCAGTCCATCATTAGAAGACGGACTTCCACAAGGGTTGAAAGATATGTGCTTGTCAGGAACTTCTTACATCTTCCCTTGTTTGCAGCTTGTTTTCCCATTGGTCATCTGGGGCTAAACAACTATGATTGCTCAATCAACAAAAGTCTGACTCAATTGGGACACAAACAGATTTCAAGTTCTAATGATCGGTTGTCTGTGTCAAGTATAGTTTGGCTCTCGGACTACCTTGGATAGCAGGATATCCAGCATTCACTATATCCCATCTGTGACCTCTTCAAAATGTTAATTGGCTCTTATTAAACAGATGTTTTCCCTAGCTTAGGGACACCACATACCTTTATGCATTTCCCAGCCCTTATTGACAATTCTCACATACTTTCTTATATTACTTCTCTAATGACTTGTCAGATATTGATCAATCTACATCACAAGGGAGGTGACTATCTTCTGAATGCCTAATGGTGCAGTCTTTTCTCATTGAAGTATTGTGGAGTAATTCCTAGGGAGATTCTGAATTGCACACCCATCAGTTGCATGCTAATATACAGATTTTATTGCAACAGTATGTTTCTTTTCTTCTCTTAGAAGCCACATGCCAGGGCCTCATGGCTGGCCTTGTAGGCTCTGATTATAGCTTTGGGAACTGAACTGAACAAAGACACCTAGCAATGCTTTTCTGCTTAACTATATATAGTAAAAGGGAAGCTAAGCTTGGCTGCCAGATGTACATTTTATCCTAGATGCTTCTCTTTTCTTAATTAATGAATACCATCCAATTATGATATCTATAAGTTACTTTTGATTATGCTTTCTAAAGTAAACAATCTGGGGGGGAGCAGTAGTTCAAGAACATGGATCCATATGAAGCAGAGTATGCTCTTGTTTAACTGCTTCACGGAAAAACAAAAATTTTATGTACAGTGGTGCCTTGCAAGACAAATGCCTCACAGGACAAAAAAACCTCACAAGACAAATGGTTTTGGCAATGGGGTTAATGACTCGCAAGACAAATGTTCCTATGGCCTTGTTTCGTAAAGCGAATGTTTTCCATTTTTTGTTCCTGCCTCATGTTTGCTGATTTTTAAATGTTTTTCTATGATGTTTAAAAAGTTAAAGTTTTTTGATAGAATTTTTTTAAATCATCTGCACAATATGTATGGCTTTAAAGAGCACTTAATAAACCTTTTGTAAACCGAATTTGACCTTGTTCTGACTTTTTTTGCCCATAAGAAGGCATTAATTAGATTTCAATGCATTCCTATGAGAAAACGCTTTTCGCAAGACAAATTTTTCGCAAGACAACATTAACAGTGGAATGAATTAAATTCATCTTGCGAGGCACGACTGTATTTCTAATTGACGCTAAGGTATCCTCAATAAGCCAGTGGGGGCAACATAGCAGATGCAGCATGTTTTACAGGATTTTTTAATGTTTTAAGTAAGCCAGCAGAAGGTGAGGGGCAGGATCTGTATTATGTACATGGTATGTTTAGGTATGATTAACAATATTAATGATTACACACTGATAGTTCAATTCTGAGTTATGATTACCCTTTCCAGCGTGTTCTAGGAATAGAACACTAAAATGTTGTTTTCCATTGCGACCTCCTGTGGGGTGTTCTGGGACAGTGCAACTTGCCTAAGGCTTGCTGTTTCCATGGGGCACTCTGTGGGAAATTGAACTCCCAATCTCTAGCTCTACAGCCGGATACTTAACTCACTGAGCTATGCAGTCAGTCATAAATTTTATGTGTAGAGCCTCAGTGGAAGGATCTAAAATATACCCAATGGCATCAGCTTTAGCCTTCCAGATGTTCTTAGCCCACAACTGTCCCCACCTTTAGGCACTATAGCCAGGGATGAGAAATTACAGGAACTGCATTTGAAGGTCACAGTTATCTAATCTTGCCATAAAGTAACCAATCCAGAATGGCTTGCTATACCGTGGAATAATCTGTCTCAAGATACAGATGACTATGCACTCAAGAATGGTAGAAAGCTATTACCTCCTAATGCACCAAGAACTCAGCGTATTATTTACTAATCTTCCCTATCTCCAGATGTAATATACCATAAAATAGATCACCCTGCTATATTCCATTTATCAGGTGACCTGCCTGGTTCGTTCCTGCATGCTATTTCACAAATACCATATTCTAATCTCTATTGTTTTGCTCAGAGTCATCATTTCCTTATGCCCTAACTAGATTAATGAACAAAATGTACTTGAATTGACAAAGCCATACATATCACTTTTGGATAGTCAATTGTATTCCCTCAGTGCACAGTCTGATTTTTGTACGGTTTCATCTCTGCATATCATAGAAGATAAATGGGTGACTAGCCTTAAATCGCAAGTTCATCTGGGAACAAATATGTCAGATTCAGCATCTAAATAATAAGCAAAACCAAGAAAACAATATAGTAATAAACTCCTTTCCCCAAATCAAATTACCAGTAAGAAAGGCCACGAACAGTAGCAATATGTTCACAGTATTACATATCTTTGTAGCAATATGAATCTGCCTGCTGATGACTAGTGCCAACCACTGATATTTTGTGATATTTTGAAATAGATAAATTCATGATTATTTTCACATTTCACAAGTAGTTGTAGATATTATCAATATCTTCACAGCTATAGTGATATAGATTGCCACTGATCCAGCAGGAGCAGAGTGATGTTGAGGCCTGTTGTCAATGATTTTGGTTATTTTATTATTATTTGATTTTTCATTGTTCCTGCAGTCTTGGGACCATAAGGAGGCAGGCTTAGGACTTGAAACATAACTTCTTTTGGATTGAAGGTCAGGCAAGTTGTCTACTTAAGGACATGCCTATTTATGGTGTGATTTCTAATGCCCGTAAATGCTTCCAAAATGAATGTAGCCCTATTACTCTATTTTATGTTCCTACCATAGTCTTTCTTGTTCATTCTGATTGGTTGAAGATATGCAGAAGCTGTCTTCCCATTGGGCTGTGTTCACTCATACTATGGACCAATATTAAGGATAAAACCAGAATTAAATAAAATCAGAATCATTTAAGCTTGTCTCTGACTAGCACTGACTCTATTTACATCTGGCTCCAGCTTTGCCTACCATTTTGTATATCAAGCTGCATCTTAAATTATTATGTCCACTACCACTTTTCTTACTCTGTTCTAGTATCTTTCAACCAATCTTGATGGCCAGGGAATTCTGGGAGTTGTAGTGCAAAAAGTATATTTTCTAAATTCACTTTGGCGTGTTTCTTAATTAGTTGGCCTCTAACCATGTAGGGGTTTTTTTTGGGGGGGGAGGGGTAAAATGGTGATATATTGTGGAGATCTCTTGACTGAAATGTCTGTCTAAGTGAAGTAACTATTAAACAAACAAGCACCAGGTACCAATGAAAAATCATTATGAGTACAGAAATATCTGCATCCCGAAGTATCATGTCTCTGTTGTGAAGAACTGCTTTTATCCTTACAATTCAGATGGAATAACTGATGCTCAGAAACAGATAGGATTTAAAATCAGACACTGAGGCCCTTTAGTCTTAACACTGACACAAGATATCTGCAATATTAACCATCTGGTGCATTGGGTAGGTGCCATTTTATGTGGAGGCTGAGTATACTGCAGCATCAGGGAGTGGGAGAAACACCCTTTAAAAATTTCAGTTTCACCCACCCCTCACTCACCACAAGCCTCTCTGCCTGCAGAAAAGAGATGTAAAACGCAATCATAGGATAACCTTAGACTACAGACTCCCACGCCTGCCTAAATCTAAGTGATTAATTTAAAACAACAGCCAAAAAAACCCTTATAATTTTAAAGCTGAAATTATTAGTCTGTGATCCTGCCTGTGTGCACATGAGTGATCAATGCTGCCTCAGTGAACTCGCTGGGTTCAAAAGGAATGTTTTTAACTTGAGCTGCCAGATATGAATAAAGCCACTCAAAATTTAATAAGAGTTTCTGTCTTTGGTACCGTCCTATAAGCGGGCTTTATTGGCATAAACTCTTGCCTGCCAGAAGTTTAAACCATAATTGGAAGTGGGTGACGCAAGGCACTTGGGGTGATTTTATGGCTTATTATTTCCTTTGCTTGTTAAGAGTTTCTGGAAGGAATTCTAAATTCCTTCACCCCTGTGGATGTTTTCAGTCAGCAGCAGGTGGTGGAAGCTCTAGCAGTACAAATATCTGGGGTTAGGAAAGAGAAAAGCCATTGTTATCCCCACAAATCTGTTGGTACATTCTGTAGTATTTTATGAAATAACTTGGGTTTTGCATGAAAGTATTCTGAAACACCCCACTGGGAGACTAACAGAAAAATGTTTTTCCTTCTATCAAGCTCATACTCCATTTCATGCACCTGCAAATAAGGATAAGCTTTTGTTCCTCTCCAATTGTACTGAATGCAGCAAAATGTGGGAAAGTAACATTTTAGGGCTATAGTGCCCAGAACATCCCAGCCAGCATGGTTAATGGTTATGCTAGCTGAGGGATTCTGGGAGTTAAAATCCACAAAGCAATTCTTCCAAGCTCTGCTGCTCAGTACAGTACATGAATATAAAGAAGCACCAACACTTTACAGTTTGATATTTGAAATTTTAAAACATGAAACCTCTTCATATGTTATAAACATATTGGTCTTGTTTCTTTATATAATTTCACCTTAATTCATAAAGTTTATTCTAAAAATAAATTTTAGACTGTGTAATGAGACCACAGATATTATCAGGGAAGAAAGCAAAAAAGATAATTCCTATAGTAAAAAGAAAATGAAAACTTACATGGATGATGGAAGAAACACTTAAAATGCAAAGGAATAGAGGAATACAACAAAAGGAAAAAAACAAGAGATCTCTTCCAGAAAATCCAAGAAATCAAAGAGAAATTCAAGCCTAGATTACAAATGCTGAATGACCAACTGGGAAGCACACAATCTGACCAGGAGAAAATAAAGAGAAGGTGAAAACAGTATACCGAAAATCTATACAGAAGGGAAAAAAGGATGACATCTATTATGAGGAACCTGCAATTCTAGAAAGTGACAACTGCTCTGAAAGCACGAGGAAGAAATAAATCACCAAAGGTAGATGGAGTGCCGATAGAACTGTCAAACCACAGAAACAGAATCTGTTAAAATCCTAACAAGAATATGTCAACAAATATGGAAAATAAAACAATGGCCCACAGACTGGGAACATTCAACATAAATTCCAGTACCCAAGAAAGGCGATGCGAAGGATTGCAGTAACTATAGGACCATTGCTTTAATTTCCCATCCAAGCAAACTGATGCTCAAAGTATTGCAACAAAGGCTTTTACCTTATATAAAGCAAGAAATGCCTGATGTTCAAACTGGATTCCAGGAAGGAATTGGCACTCATTATTACATTACACATATCTTCTGGGCACTGGAGTGTACCAAAAAGTTTCAGAAGAAGAAGAGTTCATGCTTTATATCCTACAGCAAAGCTTTTGACTGTGTAGATAATGAGAAACTATGGGTTGTTCTGAAAGAAATGGGTGTGCCTCAGCGCTTGAGCGTCCTGCCAAAAACTTGTATTGTGGACAAGAAGTTACTATTTAGACAGAATATGGAGATACAAAATATTTTCCCATAGGCAATGGTGTTAGACAAAGGTGTATTTTATCCCCTTATCTGTTCAATCCATACACAGAACATGCCATATGGAAAACCGGACTAGATTCAGATGAAGGAGTGAAAAATGGTGGAAGAAACATCAATAATTTCAGATATGCAGATGACACCATCTTACTGGCAGAAAACAGCAATGCCCTGAAATGACTGTTAGGGAAAGGGAAAGAAGGAAAAAACAGGACTGCAGTTAAATGTTAAGAAGACAAAACTACAAAAGAACTACACACAACTTTAGTGTTGATAATGAAGAAACCAAAACAGAGATGTTGTATACCTTCATTCAACATCAATCCTAATGGAGACTGCAGCCAAGAAATCAGAAGACTAAGGCTCAGAAGGGCAGCAATGAACTAGAAAAGATCATCAGCTGTAAGGATATGTCACTGGAGATCAAGATCATGCATATTCTTGAACTTCTGATCACCATGTATGGGTGTTAAAGATGGACAATTAGAAGGTTCACAAGAAAAAAAACATTCATTTGCACTGTGATGCTGGATGACAGTTTTGCAGATACACTGGACTGCCAGAAAGATGAACAAGTAGGTCCCAGATTAAATCAAGCCTGAACTATCTGTACAGGCAAAAAATGATTAAATTGAGGCTGTCCTATTTTGGGCACATCTTGAAAAGGAAGGATTCTCTGGAAAAAACAACAATGCTTGGAAAGGTTCAAGCCAGTAGGAAAAGAGGAAGAGCAAATACAAGATGGATTGACTCCCCAAAGGAACCACATACTAGTGTTTGTGAGAGCTGAGCAGGGCAGTTGAGGACAGGACATTTTGGAGATTGCTCATCCCCAGAGTCGTCAGAAGTCAGAGGTGACTTAACAGCACACAACAACAACAACAACAACAACAACAACAACAACAACAACAACAAAAACAACAACAACAAAATAAATTAATTAATCCAACACTTAATCTATAGAATCTAAATTCCAAGCAGCAGCCAAAGAGCTCAGTTCAAAAGTAGGGTCTCAGAATAAGATATCTTATTCATCAGATTCCTGGCAATTTGAAGCTACAATACAAGCAGAATTATTTCAATTTTGATCATGGATGCTGGACCATTCATACTATGGCTATTCTATGGTAGGTTTTTTTTTCTGGCATCCCTCCAACAAAACCTGTTCTCCTGGAAGCCTAACCAACTGCTGATCTGTGCTGACTCACTTTCAATTGAATTGTCATTCAAGTAGAGGTGCTCCAGCTTCTGGCTGATGTAGGGGATATTGCTGAGATTGTTGTGTGCCAGGTGCAGGACCAGCAAGTTAGTGAGGTTGAAAGAGTTTTTCGGCAGCCCTTTGTCAGAAAGCTTATTGTAGCTAAGTCTGAGAAAAGCCAGGTTAGGGAAATCTTTGAAGTAGTTATTGGGGATGTTATCAATTTGGTTCTCATCTAGGAAGAGCTGGTGGACAGCTTTGGGAACTCCAGGTGGCATCTTGTGTAGCCTGTTATGAGCTAAGTTGAGCTGCATGAGGTTCTTGAGCCCCCTGAAAGTATTCTTTTTGAAGTCTCCATCATTCAGCTCATTGTGATGGAGATCTAAGAGGATAAGGTGATCCAGCTTGTTGAATACATTATCAGGGATCCTGTTAATCCGGTTCCTGCTCAGCCGAAGTTGCTCCAGACTGGGAGGAAGATAGCCAGGTACTTCTTTAAGATGATTCCTCTCCAGATACAGAAAGATAAGGCTATCCAACTTCTCTAATACTCTTGAATCTATTGACCCAATACGATTGTTGTCCAGATTGATCCATCTCAGTTCTGTGGCATTCTTGAAGGACTCCTCAGAAAGCTTATCAATGAAGTTGTTCTGTAGGTAGACATAATGTATCCTGGATGGAATGAAGGGTACTTTCCTCAGGTTTCGGCTATCACAGTAAAGGGCTGAAGGAAAATCTGGTGGGCAGAAACATTCTCTAGGGCAGTCTGGGAAGACTGAGGGGGGTCCTGGTGGCAGAGGTGGAGGCAACTCTGTAGGCTCTACTGGTTCAGAGGGTGGTGGAGTAGGACGCTTCTTTGGAGGTCGGGTACGCCTCTGCCCATTCACCTCACAGATAAGCAAAAGAATGAGTGGGAAAATCAATCTGGCAATTCCCTTCATGGTCTAGATAGAATTCTGTTGGGAAACAAAAAGAAACAATTAAAAATGGATCCCTACATAATCAACATGAACATAACATGTTCCCTCATGTAAAACGATTATGTTCCTCTCTGGCACAAGGTTTGTTTGAACAGAGTATCACTACACTAGGGATTAAAAAATGAATAAACAAAACCCAAACAGTTCAGTTCAAAATAGGTGATTTGGTGCCAAGATATTTACTGATGGGCTAAGGCTATGTGTGAGGAGAGATATGCCAGAGTGGCAGAGTGGATGCTGTATCCTCTATGAACTGAAAGAGCAGGATGTGAATGGCAGAACACAACCATAGCATTCCTGGAAACAATGCTAAAGTCCACCAATGTGGGACTGTGCCAGTCATGATCCCCATGAGCCAGCGGAGGGAGGAAATTAATTCGTAATGATGGAAACCCTCAACCAGCATACACCCTTGTCTTGCCGTACACTATACACATGGGGCAATTTGAAAGAGTCAGAAGCCAATTTTCCATCCCCAGGACCCACCAGGGGCTTTCATCAACCCCCACGTGGTCATGAATACTCCCTGAATATTTACTTCCAGTTGCTGATGGTGGTGGTGGGGGCTCCAGTCTATTTTAGTGCAAGATCATCATTCCTAGATGTTTCCAAGAGTAAGAAAAAGACAATACTATGATTTTTTCCTGTAAGGGGCAGTTGTGGCTTGGGGGGCCTGAGGATCCAAAAAATAAATGTGGGCCTGGATAGAGGCCACCCTTTGCCCAATTCTGCCTTGTAAAAAAAAAAAGACATCAGAGCACGTTCACTCCATTGCTCCTGCCTGCTCTGTTGGCAACAATCAAGATCCTGCCTTTCTTCTAGAAACCCTTGAGCCAGGGGTTCAGATTCCTTGTTCCTGACAACCACTGCTTTAGAGCAGTGGTCCCCAACCTTGGGCCTCCAGATGTTCTTGGACTGCAGCTCCCAGAAGCCTTCACTTCCACTTCTGCTGGCCAGGATTTCTGGGAGTTGAAGTCCAAGAACATCTGGAGGCCCAAGGTTGGAGACCACTGCTTTAGAGTACAACCCACAAAGAAGGAGAAGCTACACAACACATGACCCATCATTTCCTTAAACAGGAGGCATGTAGAGAGCATGTGCAGCCCTCCTAGCACCATAGGTGCAGGACACACTTGGGAGGGAAAGATTTTTTCAAGATGCATCCAAAGGAGGAAAGCAACCAGAAGGGGACAGGGTAGGCAACAAGGAAAGCTACAGACATGCACACCCAACAGCAATCAAGAGAAAAAGAGAAGGAGATCCCAGAAACAGAACCCATCTTGCACATTCCCTACCCATGTCACGGGATCTTTTTCTTCCCCCATGAAGTAGAGTGCCATGGATTCTATACTGTTCTAGAATACTTATTAGTAACTTAATTCAAGCCATTATCCTTTTGTGCTTCCTCATACAAAAGGTAAGTGGAGACCTTTTAAAAGAAATATAATATCATCAGGTTGCTTTCTAGAGGCAGATGCGTTCCCAATAAAAGGAAGTTTACCAGGGATACCTCATAGTCTCATAAATGCATGCCACGCTCCATTCATTTGTTTTCATCTTGCCCTGCCAGCCTGCCATTTCTTTCCTTTTTCACAATGCAAAATGAAAGAGATTTGCATAACAAACACTGCAGTTGAAAATCTTTCATGGTTGTTTGGCCTGCTATTGTGTTCATATTTCTCTTTATCAACACTCTATGGATGGTTACCCAAATGCAGGAAAAAAAAGTGTTGGATTCTTTTACTGTGTCTTATTTGCTCAATTCTCCATTATGAAAAATGCTGTCTCTCCTACCAAGCAACAAATGTTGGAAAGATTACACTCCCCAACAGTAGCCACAGAAAGAATGTGCAAATATTTGTTGTTATGAACATCAAGACAAAAGCCTTCAAGAATACAACATCAGGTCATTTCTGACTTATGTGAACTCTAATAGGAGAGCTGAGGCAGGTGAGATGTTCAAGGAGTGTCACTCTCCATTAAGTTTCCATGGCCACATGCGGATCTGAACCCAGGTCTCCTCAGTTCTAGTGGGACACTCTGTCCACTATAGCACACTGATCTCCACGTGAACATTACCAGTTCTTCTTTTGATTCATGGTTTGCCTTTGATAGAAATACCATTATTATTATTATGGATAGCTGATATTGGAACTGGATGTTTTCCTTACAAATACATTTTGGAATCAGAAGATCCACGTGGCAGACATGTCTCTCTACTGCACAATTTTTGAAACATCTTCAATTTCCCTGGTTAATAAGCATGCGTTCTGTACCAAGTCTGTTGCCAATGCATAGGATTATCAGTACTGTCTCCTCAGTATCTGCTTATGACAAAAACACCTTTTTTTTATTGATCCACTATTTTTAACAGCTATATTTCATTCAGGGCCTTCAGCCAGCATGTGGTTGGGATACAGTATTTGCATATTTATAGGTTTTTTTCACTACAGTCTCCAGGTTTCTCTTGATCCACTATTTTTAACAGCTATATTTCAATCAGGGCCTTCAGCCAGCATGTGGGTGGGATATTTGCATATTTATAGGTTTTTTCACTACAGTCTCCAGGTTTCTCCTCATAGCATGGACATTTTGGTATTCCATCATGAAAGGTGTGGGGTTTGACTCAAGAAAATATGTTTTCACTTATTTGATTTCTGTATCACCTACTTCTTTTGGGGAGCTCCGACAGAAAATTGTTCTTCTTTTCACATTTTACCCACACAAGGGAGAGGTGAGGTAGGCTAACTTTAGAGAGAAAACGACCACCTAATGACATACAGGGAGCTGTCCAGCTGTCCAGCTGTCTGCAGGTATTTCTAATTTTAGCCTAACACTCTGTTGGTTCCAGTGCATCTTTCCCAGGAAGGAAACAAAGATGAATAAATATGTCTTGGTTTTGCAGCTGGCTGGAAAGACATTTTGAGGGACTCTATGTGCCTCCTGCTTCCTTAGGGGAGAACAGCTACTCTTTCACATTTGAATAAGTACATGCTCTTCTTCCTGAGCCATTGGTGTTTTTCTTATTGCTGTTGTTCTTATTGTCATCTTGATGATGATGATGATGATTATATCAATCATTATTATTGCTGCTGTTACTTTTATTGTGATTGTATGTTATTTCTTGTATATGGTGCATAACTAAAATCACAATTTAAATTTCAAAATAAATATTGAAAATATAAATCCATTTTTATTTGAATTATGATTTAAATCAATTTTGAAAAACATTTTTATCCACCTTATATTATGCCTTTTTAAATTTTTTTAACCCACAGGAGTATCCAAAAGTTACACCTCAGTATTTTCATCACTATGTTCTTTCCTTTCCTTTCACATGTACTTCTCTCCATCCTATGTCCCCGTCCCCCATGCACACCTTGAGAATTACAGCAGAGGTAGATTTTGACTGCGTAGCTCAGCATAGCTATCCTCTGCAGCAAAGCTCCTTTCCATTCCAATCCTTGGAGTTCGGATGTTGCACTGCTTTTTGCCAGATCAGAGAGAGCATCAGGCACATAACCACTTTAAATCCTCTTTTTAAACAAGGCTTTAAAAAGGCCCTTATTCTCAAGAGTGTCAGACTTCATACAGAAGAATAAGTGAGCCTTTCAGGGTCACAGCTGTGGAGGGAATGTGAGCAAATTGCAACCCATCCAGCAATGCCCTTGAAAGCTATAAAGGATCTGCAGGTGTTGTAGCAGCTGAGAGGGGTGTCGTGAACTGCTTCATCTCCCTGGAAGACTAATGTTTCTTAACCTTCCATTTAAAAAAAGAAACTGAAAATGACATGTTTATCTATACCTATTTACTGGAGACAAGACTGTTTTTTAAGAAATATTTTAGCACTTGAGGGAAATTACTATAACCTCCCATCCTACCCTGAAAAATAAAGGGGCCTCCTTCTGTCCATCTAAACAAATCTCTCTCTCTCTCTCTCTCTCTCTCTCTCTCTCTCTATCTCTATCTATCTATCTATCTATCTAGTGCAAATGTAAATGTTCATATAGGAATGTTGAGCTGAAAAGTGCAGATTCTATCTATCTATCTATCTATCTATATAGTGCAAATGTAAATGTTCATATAGCAATGTTGAGCTGAAAAGTGCAGATATAGAAAGGCACATATAGAAAATGTCTTTACTTCTATACCCTCACTTGCACTCTGAAAATGTACTTAATTTTGGATCAAAATTATTTCATACAGTATTCTTTGAAATATTCAGTGCCATTCTTCTCACAAGACAGTTCTGCTATTTATGTTTATGATTCTTTTCTATTACATTACTTCTACTTGAAGAACACAATCTATAGTTTTCTCAGCATTTACTAAATCTCACTTGTATCCCACTGTTCCCATGCACCATGGGAACTTGAGACAGGATAGACAGCAGCAGCACACACTGCATTCTAAGGGGGACCTTCCTCCCTGCTCCACTAGGCACTGAATAAACCCAGACTTGTTTAGTTTGAGCAGGTGCCCTGCATCCACGCCCTTCATGTCCATTTGTTACTTAAATAAAGGGATTAAGTTCTTCTCTCCGCATTTACTCCAGCTGTCAGGCTTTCTGAAGCATACTGAAGCTCCTATTCAGACATCACAATAAGTGGCAATTCTTGAAGCATACCAAAACACAGCCCCCATTATATCCAGATTTTTAAAAGAATGTGACACACAGAGAAGGAAGGAGTGTTTTGGACATCTGGGTTTACAACCCCAAACGTAAGACAGTTAGCTCCTCACCAGTGCATTGGAACAATGCAGACGAAACGGCTGCCTCTCTCTCATGTTCGATTGTCTTTGTAACAATCAAATTATACATTCTTAGCAAGGCAGAAGCAACGCCGAGGACCCCCAGTTAAGAATATTCCTGTGCTATGTATCTGGCAAATGATAATGCCCGTTGTAGCATCATACAGGAAAGGGACAGTACATTGCCTAGCTTAGCAAGAGTGTGATGAGGTAGGCAAGGTTAT